TTATATTTGTTTTTTTTTTTTTTTCCATTATAAAAAATTTTATTTTAATTTAAAAAAATAAAAAAAAAAAAAACAAAAAAAAAAAAAAAATAAATTGTTTTACTTTTTTTTGAAAATTTTTTTCCCAAAATCTTTTTATTTTTTTTTTTTTTTTTTTTTTTTTTTTTTACATTTTTGGACCTAAACTAGAATTTTATAAGATGGTAAAAAAAAAAATAATCATCATAATAATAATGCAAAAGTGATTAAAAACAGTCAGTTGACTTTTTGCTTTTGTTGTCAAGGGATAAATTCGTCAAAAAAAAAAAAAAATAATATAGGCCATTTGGTGATGATGCATAAGCCTTTTCATTTAAATATTTGCCATTTTGTGTCATAATGTCTGCATAACGCGATGTAAGCATACGCTTCCATGACTGTCTAGTTAAAAACGTGAACAGTGAGGCTGCAGGTGTCTGGTGAAGTAACCCAGGCTGTGGCTACATGGGCCAATACATGCTTGTAAGCTGTGCCATTGGCAGTTCGGACGCCGCGCTGACCGTGACGGACACACAGTGGTCTCTTCTGTGTGTTAAAGGCGGATGCCGTCTCTGGCTCGCCTCCAGACTTCCTGCTCAGAGTCCCAGCCCAATCAATTCTTTTATACGTTTTCCTCCCCAAAAAGAAGAAAAAAAGATCCACAAGCGTCTGTCTGTGTTGCCCAAAGGAAACGGCGGCCGCTGCTAAGCTGTGCAGGAATCCCTCACAAAGCTACAGAAAAACCTGCTTTTTTATTTTAGAGGTGGTAATGACGGCAACAACCAACAACGCCAGGCAGATTTGTTAATGATTAAGGAAATTGTTGCAATGAATGTGCTGCAATCTGCTTTTTTTTTTTTTTTAAAGCTTAGAAAGAAATTTTCAAAGAATTTGAGGCATCATTATTTATTTCTGCTTTACCTGTCATTCATTCGCTTTGTATTTATAGACCTAAAACGTTTTCAACTTTCTCATATTACACCACAAAAAAAAACAAAAAACCCTCAATGGAAGTCAATCTTTTCTGGCTAGATGATTTAAAATGATAGAAGAGTTGGTTTAAAGCCAACTCTTCAAAAGTTTTTAAAAAAAATAAGAAAATTAAATTTAAGATCTTAGATGAATATTAGGCTCTTTTTAAGACTTTTGAAGGCCTTATTTTTTTTTTAATTTTAGACCAACATCAGCGGGAGCCGTGCTATTGGAGGTTGGAAGAGATGCGAGACTGAATTGGAGATTTACCATCACAGTACAATCATGTGTAAACATGGCCTAGTCAAAGTAAAGACCTAAATCCCGCTAAAATTAATTTTCACAGATGGTTTCCATCTAATCGGAGCTCGAGACTTTTTGCAATGAAAAAATTGACACGAACTCTTAAGATCTGCAAAACTATTAGGAGCACAAAACAAAAGACTTGATGCTGTAATGGCATTCAAAGTTGGTTCTACAAAAAGTATTGACCTGGAGGGCTAAATACTGTAATATACTTACTACATTCTTCAAAGAACATATTTTAAAAATCCAATTATCATCAGGCATATTTTGTGTTTTATTACATGAAATACAATGAAATTATTGGTAATGTGCATCTGGTTGGAACCGTTTTACTTACGTTGTACGTTTCCAGCTTCACTCTGTTGCGAAAGATAAAAGTGTTGAAGTTCGCTTGCTGGAAGATCTCGTCGAATGCCGATTCATTCTGAAATACGAGCAAATGTTTTGTTTTTTTATTCTCGTTTTCGACGAACCAACGCAAAGAAAAACAATCAATACTTAGAAATAATTGCTGGGATTTCTTATAAAGCATGCATGGAAGAGCAGAGACACGGCATCTTTAAAAGTAAGTGCAGGCGTGTTTGGAAACAGCAAAACTCGAGGTTTATTTTTTCAACTGACAGTTTCACTTCTCTGAAGTAACCAAGTGAATTTTTGGAGAGAAGAGACTCACTGAGTCCTTGAGCTGGCCCAAGTACGCGGCGTTCTGGCCCAGGATGGCCTCAGCGCTGTCCTGGAAGCAAGTCACCCACTGGTTGTCGGCGTAGTCTGCAATGTTGGCCTGACAAATGACATGGCAGAAAGAAAAATCTGACAGTGAATAAAAAAAAGTTAAATAAGTGTTTAAAGTGTGATGTTTTGCCCGATACTGCAGCTAGAAGACGGTGTGTATATCCTGCTGATTATCCTGGCAAAAAAACACACACAGAATCAGCGTGGAAGCAAATTCACAGCTTCTCCGACTGCTTGTGAAGAACAATATGTTAAGTGGTGAGAGCTACGAAATAAGAAACAAATCCATTTAAGATGTCTACCTTTTGTAATCCTGCTGCTGACTAAGCTTTTGTAGTTATCTTCACATAAAAAAGGTTATTTTCTAACTGAACTGGGAAAAATTATATTTGTGTTCATCAGTGAAAATGGAGTAGGATAATGGAGTATACAGAGGCCTGCAGCGGTCAAACATAAAGCTGTAAAAAGCCTCAAGTCAAATTAAATCTGGTCCTCATTACAGTGTTTCACAGATGTAGCTTCAACATTTCCAACTTTAATTGTGGAGAGCAGTTAGAGGCAACGTTGTGAGACGGAGAGAGGGACAAAAGGGAGAGAAGCACTGGTTTACGGATGTAGAAGGGCAAAGTATTGAGAAATGAGAAAAAAGAATTTAAAGCGTAAAAAACAACCTCAGCTGAAGCCAAAAAGGAAATAGGAAAAAAAATAAAAAAATAAATAAATAAATAAATAAATTGCATATTGGTGCAAAGTGGGCGTCAGGTTTTAAGTCACTTACGGACAGAATGAGGCGGTACTTGAAGTTGGGAAACTCTTTATCACACTTCTCGCAGCGGAACATGCCATTCTGCTGGTCCACCACCTTTTTGTTGCAGTCCTGGGTCGGGCAGGCCTGATAAAGGCAGTTCTCCTTACGCAGAAACACGATGGTGGCTATGCAGGAGTAGTAGTCGGCCTAAACAAGGAGAGGGAAACAAAGCCACTTTATTAGATGAACTCCTTTAAAAGAAAAAGGAGATGCAGTTTTGCAATCCTGACCAGAACGTTGCTGGTTAAACTGCTTTACAAAAGTATTCTGAGGAATAATGTAGCATGGATATAAAAGTATGAGAGCGCCTGTTAAAATGTCCAGTTTGTGTAATTTAAAACTGACATTAAGAAAAGAGCTGAGATATTCTTCATGTGTCTTTGCTATGAAGGACGCTGTTCTTTGGAGAGAAACATCCAAACTAAGTCGAATACAGTAAAAAAGAAACATTAAAGTGTCCCAGATAGCATGTAGGAACGTGTTCTACATTTTAGCCATAATTCAAACTGTTTTGGACTAAAACAGCTCTGTACACCTCCAGGAAAATACCGTACACAGTCAACATGGCAGTTTATGCATCAGTAAAAACATTCAGTTTGCATGAGCTAAACTGCAACAAACTGATGAATTTATAGACACAAAGCCAATAGTAAGATGTTGCACATGTTTACCAAAGCAGATCAAATCAATGAAACAAACTCATGAACACAAAAACGCCCGGATGTATTCCAACTGGATGACAAATTGTCTCAATAAGAGCGAATGAGTTTGCATCACCTGTCTTTTCCTTCACAACAGATCTTTTTAACATCTGTCTGATAAGAGTGGCTCAAACTCCCCCCAATCCACGCCGAACATCCCCAGCAGAAGAAGATCTAGGCCAGTGCAGGGAGCGATAAAAGGATAACGGTCCACGCCGGAGCTCAGGTTGTAGACGTGCCATCTATTCATTTGACCAAAAACGTCTGCTGCGATTTGGATTTGCAAAACAAAGAAGTTGTCTAAAATGGGTACATCATTTAAAAAAAAAAAAAAAAAACTCCAGTGGCTGAATTTTTAATGACCATTTTGCTAAACAAAAACTTCAGAAGTCGTTACGTTCCACTGTTTTTTTTTTTTCCTTCTGATGAGCCCATTGATGTAAACGTCTCCAATTAGTGTAAGACTGATCTGTGAGGAGGGAAAATAAAGTGTTTTTCTTGCCTCTTTAACATATTGTTAAAAATGCAGCGTCAAAACAGACAAGCGAGTTGTGGCCGCTTGCTCTCAGAAGGGGCACGGCGTCGACGTGCAGACTTCAAGTGTTGGCACAGAGACTTTGCGACGAAAACAAAAAGTGACAGGAATTTGCTCGGCGGGGTCTTGAGAAGCCTGACCCTCCCTGCCATCACCTATAGGATGTGGCAGAGTCAGCGGTGCTTTGTCATAACCACACTCTGCTACATGACACGCCAACAGGAAACAAGCAGCACAAGATTTGGAGGGAGAAAAACTTTCAGAGTTCACCTGACGTAGGCGAAATAATTTATAATAATTTTATAATAATAATAATATATTTTGCTACATTTTAAATAAGATCGTCATCAAAAATTAAAAGTGTCTCAGTAGTTCTATTCAAACAGTTGGCTTAGTTACGGTACAACTTCAGTTTGTGTGGTTAGTATTATAAGTTAAACATTAGGGGACTCAAGGCTGACACCTGAATTGTAAAATACTCAATAATCCTTCATTTGGCAATTAAATGCTGTTGAATAAGAGGAAATAAAGGCCAGCAAAACTGATGCACCTTTTTTCTTTTTTTACTTTTCCTTCTTTTTTCCATGTGAGAATTTACATTCATTGTAGATTGTGTCAATATTTGTTTGTTGAATAAATATTAGAACAGCAGTCTTCCCAATAATTAACTACATCATAAAACGTCTTTGTTAAACCCCTTTTATTATTATCATTATTACTGAAAGACTGAATTTTAGGTTTTCATTAGCTGTACGCCACAAGAGTTAGAAAAGCTTGGAATATGTCCATGTAATCAATTAGTTTTTGCGCTTTGAAACCAATTCCTGAAGTAAATGTACTTTTCTTTTATATTCCGATTTCGTATCTCTGTGTTGCTCTCCAAGGAACAGAGCAACTTAGGTACTTTCAAATATACATATGCAAAAATAAAGCAGCACACAGCATGATAGAAAACAACCGTAGCATTAGTATTATGACAGGGTCACTCACAGCTTCAAGCATAAAGAGAAGTCTGGTAAATGTAATTTACATTACCAATTTAACAAATCATGCCATTATTCACTTAGCCAAAGATTAAAGGCATCTTCCCTTGTGCAACTAATGCATTTCATCTCCAATATGTTTGTACACAAACATAAATCAACAAGGTCCCACAGCTTCACAGTCATCATAATTGGATAAATCTATTCATTTCCCCCCCATCTTAAAACATTTTTCTTCATACTGTGATAATTACTATAGTGCAGTGCATTGTAAATTATGCGAAATTACTCAAGTTAACATGTATGTCACCGTTTTCTCCTTGAGAATATTTCTCCACTTCAGTTTCCTTCAGCTGCAAATAAGAAGGTGGAAATGAAAGAAAATGCATTTGCCTGGCTATTGTGGGGGCAGTCGTTTCATTACAGGTGCAAGGAATGATGCCCATGTAATCTTGGCGATCGATGCCAGAGATAAATGTGACTTTCAGCAGGTACGGTATTAGAACGGTAAGTGGACCTCAACAGAGCAGAGGGATTAATGAGCAGCAGGAGATAAATGTCATTTGGATTTGATTAGAAATATATACATGGTGGTGCAGCGATATTATTGATTTAAAAACCAATCATTATACTAAGGGTTATCTAAAATCATTCCTGAGGTGTAAATGGTAGAAAAAGCTACAGAACTGGATGCTTTAAGTTTATAACAAAATTAAAATGTTGAATAATTGTTGTTAAGGACACATTAGGGTCTCCATAAACATCCCAAAAGTTACCACAGAACAACAATATTTGTTAAACACCACCAGTGTTAATGTACAGTGTTTTTGGAAAGTAGAGCGCTTCATTTTCCCCCCACATTGTAATGTTCAAGCCTTAATCCAAATTGTATTTAATTAATCTCTGTCCTCAATATCCTACACATAAATACCCAAGGATGACAATGTGGGAAAGCGGTTTGAAATTTTTGAAAATGTATTAAAAAGTAGATGAAGAAAATGCAATTCAGATTCACTGCATTTATATCTCAAGACAAAGGTGTGTGTGTGTGTGTGTGTGTGTACCTTGTCACCGTGTCCCAGATGCTCCGACTTCACGTCAGCCAAGGACTTCCAGTTCTCAGAGAGCCTTCCGCCGGCACCCCTCACCTCCGTCAGGGACTGTCCTTCCATGGCGTGTCCTTCCTTGTCAAACCTGCATGAATCAAAGACAGCATTTGGTTCGATTCAGCGGTAAAAAAGAGAAAGAGACAAAAAAAAAAAAAAAAAAAAAAAATTCACATTTGTTGAATGATGTTGACAGATTAGGAATCCAAGCTAGGAATTGAAATTAAAAATCTGAACAATTTTGGGAGAATCCAAACTGTACTGGTGCCATTCGGTTTTTGAGCCCAACCCTAATAAAGTTAACTTATTAAACTTAAAACACTCAAATCATGACTTTGATGTTTTAACTGGAGATGCATCCATACAATATCTGTATCGATACTAATGTTGGAAAAAAAAAAATCTAAATTAATATCGGTGACAACATGCCCAATCCATGAGAGCAGATCTATTCAGTATAGTTCTACATGTTGCACTATGAGTGACATCATGCTTTATATTGGCTGTTCTACTCTTAATTGCACCGACTGAACAAATTAAAGTTTTGTTGTTTTTACATGTTTGACCAAGACTGTGAAAGTGTTGGCATATTGAAGTGTGCTGTACTGCTGCAGTTATCAAATAAATTTGTAACTCAGTACATTTATGTCTGTTTCAAAAGTAAAAGGCAATTCGGCACCGTTTTTCTGTATCAGATCGGGATCAGAAGTGAAAATAATTAGGTGGTTTCCTGTTTTAACCCCTTTTTCTGCATAGCCAAAAATTCAAACCACCTTATAGTTTAGATTGAACCAAAAAAATACGACCCGACCCCATAGACATGGAGTCTGAGCCAGATCCAGTCCAAGTTAAGTTTAATTATAGGCCCTTGGCCCAAAGCAAAAAAGATATTATTTTAAGTAAGATTTCACTGCTTTGGTTCTCAGAGCATAATTTGAGTAAGCAGCGTAAACATCTGTCGTTTTTGTAGCCTTTGCTTTGAATCTTCCAGCTCCATTTTGCTCGTTTGGGTAAGAGAGGTGCAAATCATCCAGGATGCATGATTGATAGGAGCGGAAAAGGGCGGGGCTTGTGTTGCGCTCGTTAACAGTCTAATAAAGTCTGTCCCTTATTTTATTTTTCTCATAAACTACCTAATCACCTATTCAGACTACATTTACATTTGATCCTCCCTTTGCTGGTTATACTGTAAGTTTAAACACCAATCATGAAGCTAATAACTTCGGCTCGACTCGGTCTCTTAACTTCAGGTGATGACTGCAGCGAACAGCAGGTAAGGAACTAATCAGAAGAAGTAGTGCGCACAATTCAACATAACATTCGAGGGAAAAATAAATAAATAAGTAAATTAAAATGCATGGCATAACGGATCCAATTATGAACGGCATTAGAATTCAATTCAACGTTCGAACCAAAGAATGAGGCACAATAATCCACCGTTGTTTACATGTCTTCAGAAGACTGCAGGGTGCCCACTTAATAACAAACGAACCTTTTTCCAAGCGGGGAATCTTGTTTGCCTTTGTCAAAGCATAGATGGCTCATCTGAGAGCAGAGAAGGCCCTGAAGCTTTTGAAATGAATCAACAGCGCAGACAGATGAGTTGGACAGGGTCAGTGCTGTTATCAGAAACCCATTTTCATGCAATTTTCTCAGAAACTGAAGAAAAGACAAGAGGAGGGAGAATTAGAAAAGGCACTAGGAGAACTGAGATGGATGGAGGTAAAACGCAGAGAGATAATTCAGGTTAAAAAGGTCAGAGGTCAACAGAGCTTAGTACTCTGGCGTGCGGCGGAGTCTTATGCAGAAAGGAGGTTGGATTGCAAATACGACCAGAACGTCTCCTCTCCTGCAGGCGTGACTAATTGAAAATATTCCAAATTAAATATTCAGACTGTAGCCTGCACAAAGCCGCTTGCCACCTCTGACGAATGTGAGCGATTCTTTCCAGTGGCATTTGATTTCCCCGCTTGTGTACCTGTAAAGATTTGCTTTAATTGCACTAGCAATCGCTAAGCTGCCTTGACGCGATGAAAAGAGAAATTTCTGGACCTCTCAGAAGAGGAATGCCTCTGAAGGGGAGGGGAAAAAAATTGTGTAGCAATTTAGCAGAATTGGTTAATATTGTACTTTTTCATGGGGCTGCTACTAACTATTTTAGTAATCAATCAGATAAAAAATTGCCACATTCTGCAGATTTTTCATTTAACCTTGTAAGCCTTTTATGTACATTAGAAACACAAAAGATGCAAAAACAAATAATTCAATTCGTTTTTCAAGCAAAATAAACATTTTATTGCCAGTAATGCAACATAGCATTTCTATAGACTATGCTTGATCATTTGTAGATTAATTGATTTTTTTTTTTTAGATTAACCAATTAATAAGCAAGACGTTTTTAATAGGAAATTGTATTTATATATATATATATATATATATATATATATATATATTTTTTTTTTTTTTTTTTAAACAGAGTTTGTACCAGGTAGCACTTTAGTTCTGGGTGAAACATATTCACAGGCAAAGAATTTTTTTAATGTTAGATGCAAATGTATACATTTATCGGCTTAGTTGCTGCTCCGAGTATCAATACTCATTTAATCACGACTAATCATTTCAGCCCTTCTACTTTGACAGTGATTTAAATCTACAGCAATTTATGTTTTAAACTAGTTAAGATCAGAAGTATTTCACACATTTCAGTGGAAGATTAGAGGAGAAATGAGGAGGATCTGTGACACTGCAAAGGCCTGACATAGACTATGCTGGGTGATAAATTGGTCCCAGAAATTATTGCGATAAACAATAATATTGTTTTGAGACCATTTTCAAAATGATAATAGTACATTAATGCTAGATCGCCATATCAAAGATTAATACACTTTAATCTTGTGAAGAACACTCAACACTGGAACACTTTAAATATTCTAAAAGAGTAGAAAGACAAGAAAGGAAAAACTGAAATATAAATCACACAACTGAAAAATAGATTAAATGGATTATAAAGACTAGATAAATGTAACTAGCATTGAAAAAAATAATCAGGATGGAAATGATCAAGCTCATTATCATGCAATAGATTTATTGCGATAAGTTTCAACTTAGTTGAAAGCAAACGGGCAGCATCGTTTACAGACAGATGCCTGCACACTAAAGGGTTAAAGACCAAGCAGTGCTATGCATGCTGCAAACATGTCAAAATCCAGCGTGTTGATGTGTCTTGCGGACAGTACGGGAGCAGAGACGTGTCTGAGGAACAAGCAGGAAGGGATGAGGAGGAAACTCCAAGTAAGCAGTGTTCTCACCTCCAGGCTAAGACTCTCAAGCCTAAGCTGAGAGTGGCAGAGACACAACAAATAGCATTCCTCCATCTTCTGTGACATTTTGATAGCCCCTTCATCTAAAGCAAATGACATGCTGTCAAACACAGAACCTGCTTCCATTGTAAACAATGAAGGTTTTGGGATGTAAACAAGGACCATTGTGTTCTGGTGAGTCATAATATATCGCCGAGCATGGGCTCAGACATCTAAAGATGTCTCAAGGTATTAGTCAGGCAGATATTTTGCAGCAAGTATATAGCATCACTAACAGCCGCTCCACTAAAAGTCAATATATCTTGGAATTGTAAATAAACGTTACCCTTGCAAGATAAACCTGAATAATTTATTTTTTTTGTAGGTGCAGAACAAGTTTGGATGAGTTTTTATTTTTTCTCTCCAAGATTTGGATTAAATAAAAATGCAATAAAAATGTTGGTAGCATTAAAAAAAACAAAGCTGCAGGATGAAACTTTGGTAAATATATATATATATTATTATACGTGTTAAACCGGTCACTTTGTCATGACAGTATGAGACAGAATCTATGAGAAATAAAACAATCAACATCCTCTGCCTCCTCTTAGTGCTTCTACTCTCGTCTGCAAAAATGCACTGCAAAGTCAGAAACAGCCAATCAGAGACAGGAGGAGGGTCTTATTGCTGTCAAGCTTGTGTCAGGTTAGTTAGCACTGATGACGGCAGCTAAACGGCTTTCCTGGAACAGTGAGTTGTTTCTCTGCCATTAGCACATAGAGCGGCGTGTCTACAAGCATGATCAACAGTGCTAAGACCCTCCTCTTGGCTCTGATTGGTTGTATATTGGCTTTGATTGGAAGGCTTGCATTCCTGCAGATGGCAATTAAACATTTCCAACATCACTTAATCACGTTAAGGCATCTTGACGGACATTGGAAGTGAAGGACAGGAGTATTGAACAGTGACTGTTCACATTTTTTGTCAATACAGCCGTGGCTTCTACTTGTCCAAGTCAAGCTTAATTGTCTATAGACGTAGCACAACTAGTTGGGGCATTTACAAAAGTTGGAAATGGCTAGTTTAGAAACCAACCCATACGTTCTCCCTCCTGATACGTTTGTTGATTTGATCAAATCAACAATTTTGCTCAAATTCATGCCACGTGATTTATACCACTGTGTCAAACAGCCTTTCCTCCTACACTGGAGCAGACATTTAAAAGCGTACAAATGCCTAGATGCCAACCAGTTTTTTTTTTTTTTTTTTGTTTTGTTTTTTCCTTTTCACACATGCAAGGCTACATGATGGTCTGGCATTCTATCCAGGGTTAGTAATGATTAGACATGTTCCTTTTCCACAATGTTTGACTGCATCTTACTACTTTTAATTACTTAAAGTATATGGATGTTAATCTCTTGACCTTGTAAAAAAAAATGTTTGGTGGGAATCCAAATACGATACATCGTAATCTTCTTTCCTTACTACAAAGTTATACAATAAAATTACAAGTTAGTTTTCAGCCTCATCTGTTTGTGCAGCACTTCATGGATATTACATGAAATCAACTAAATAAAAGTGACATTATGCCACCAACCTGTTTTACAGGAGTTAAAACAGGTCTTCTTGGCGTCTGTCATGGCGGAATGGACCTTCTGAATAGTGTGACGTCACGTGTGACAGGTCAGTAGAAGCATAGGGAGGAGGTGGAAGAGTGTTGTCTTTTCACAAATAATCTACCTTACATTATACTGTCACAAAATATAATACCTGATATAAAACTGTACAAAGTATTTTTGTAAAAAGTTACATACTGCTGCTTTAAACCCAAAGCAGTGAAATCCTGCCGTTAGTAGGCTCACAACAACACGTGCGTATTTCCAAAGTCAGAACAAAAATGTAATTTAATTAGTGAAACCGTTTCATTGCCCAGCAAAAAGATGCATGTAGCACTTTGGTTTGAGAATAAATTAGCACTTCCAAACAACAGTTTAAATCACTCTGTATTAATTAAAGTTGACCCACACCTTCATAATAACACTGTAAAACCCAGGAAAAAAAACAACAAAGATGATGCATTAATGAGGCGTCATCTTTACTGGACTACTGGCAAAGCTTGTTTGTTTGTTTGCTCCCAGGCTCCTGTAATTACTGCCCCAACTTTATGACTTGTCTGTGGCAAGTGGAAATACTCGAGCCCTGATAAGAAAGACGGAAAATGTCAGCTGGACTAAAATGAGATAATGGGAAGCGTCTGAGGGTGGCTGCATCAAGGCCTGGGAATAAACCTGATAAAGGACTGGATAAAGAAAAGACTCCCCTGGCTGGCGGTAAGTCTAGAGGCAGCGTGACCCTCCCTAAATGTGCTGTTGCCACCTAATGGACAAGAGCATCCGCACAGGCGGATGTGGGTGTAGATTTCATGGCGCTAGCAGCCTTCGTTCAGCCATCAAACAGGAAGCAGCAGACATAATCACATTACGGCAGCGTTAATCAAAGATCAAGATTATTAGTGCGCAGAACGGCATTGGTTTGACAAAGAAACGAGAGCCATTTGATGTCCTGCAGGATGAATCAGGGAGCCATTAAAAGGGCCGCAGCCCAACTTGTCAAATGAGCACTTGAGCGAGAGCAGAGCTGAAACAGCTAATACTCTGCAAAGAGTACGAGACAACGGCCCACCAAGGATACACTATTCATTTGAAGAAGTCCCACAGGACTGCGCCAAAATAGTCAAATTAAAATGCCTCTGCAGCAGGAAGACGGCCATGTCTCAGCAGCTTTGGGTCTGTCGTTAAAGAGGGAAAGCCGTTGTTTCATAAAGTGGTGCTATTATGCATTTTCCAGGCACAAGCTTGTATTATCAAGTTCCTACTGCATGTTACCTTCTGTTATAACAAAAACACTGTGTATGTCAAACATAACTTGACTTTGCAATATGATGGCTTGAAATTGGGCCTCTGACTCTAAGAAGCTCCGCCTCCAGCACCTCATCACAACAATGCTTCTCCATTATGCTGCTTAAAGCCTCTTTTTTAGGAGCGTTGGACTAAGTAGTTTGCATGATGAGCTGTCATTATTACAACATTCAAAAGATAGTCATCTTCAAATCCCAGTGGGAAAAACATGGACAGTGCAAGTGCAAGCCCATTTTGTCAGATTAAAAAAAACAAACAATAAACTTCAATGTATTTTATTAGGATTTATTTATGGCCGATTTAGGCTTAAAGGTCTTCAAATAATGGAATTTCAAAAATTTCAATATGATTCAAGTATTTTCCAGGTCTCAGTTAGGATAATTCTGGTAAACATATTTCATATCCTGTATTTTTATTATTATAATTTTTTTAGGTTTTTCCATCCACCCATCCTCCTTGATTAGCTAAATATTTAACAAATCTGCTGTAATTTCAAAATTAAGCCTTACTCTAGCCAGATGTGTAAAAGAAAAACTCACATTGAAGGTTTTGAGTCTTCAACAGTGCACAGTCTGTATGTCAGAGAGGCCAGGAGAATGTTTTTATCAGGACAGATTTATGACACCAGAATGCACTTTTTTGTCCCAAAAAGCTAAATTATGTCCGACATTTAAGCAAATCTTCACGTCTTCCTGAACATTCTCTCCCTACAGAGAAACATCATTGCAGCATCATGTTGAGAGGATGCTTTACTTTATAAGCAACAGGGATGCCAGTCAGTTCTCTAGAAGGGTATGTGGAACCACCCTGAATGTCATTATTAGCATTTTAAAAAATGTTTTAAGTAAAAATAGATGTCATAGCCAAAATAAATAAATAAATAGTAAAAGGGTGCCAAATAAAAATGCTCGTCATACTTTTTCAAGATATGCATTTTCTTAATTAAATTGAAAATCATGCAAAATGTTCTTTACACTACACAACTATGGATACTTTTGTGTTTTTTTTTAAGTTAAAAGACTTAACGTTTCTGGCAAAATATGAAAAAAAGTTCAAGGGTTATAAACATTTATGCAAGGCAGCGCATGCATTCTACAGCCAACAGTCCTATAATGAAAAATAAAACCTCAAACAATCTTTATGCTGAAGTCCAACTATAGGCCTAATGACTACATATTCACCAGTTTGTCCACAGCTGCGTTGCGGCGCTCAGCTATTCTAAATTATGATGTCGTCTTGACTGTTGCTCTCACAAGAATTGACTTGAACTGAGAGTAATGAATCGGGTCTCGCCTCCTTCCATCTGTGACTTTGAAACTGTTCATTAATGACTGCCTCGAAACCTGTGGGAACCCGCTGCTCAGAGCAGACCCCCACGGACCGGAGTTTCTTCAGCGGGGAATTAAACCAACACCAGGATTTTAAGGATCATTATCTCTGGCCGCCCAAGAAGAGACAGAGTGGACAACAAACGTCTGTCATTAAACCCACGAGGAAACAAAACAGTATAAATAAGTCTTTGCAACGGGGAGTTAATGATGTGCAGGTAAATGGAAAAATAGCACCCCAGAGGGATCTTAATTAGATATTTTCAATCTTGTGAGCAAAATTAAATCCTCCTACAACAGAAAACCGCAGTTTGAGGTTGAAGTGACAAATGTGATGAATGATAATAAATAACCGCCGGCTAATATTTCCCTATTAAAATAAAAGTCACATTTGTTAATCGACTTTCTCGTCTGGGAACTAGAGGTCACATTGTGAAATATTTGACAGATTCTGCCCAGAATGGTTTAGAAAAATCACCAATTGAGGAAAATGTATTATCGAAAAGTAAAAAAGCTCAATCTCTTTCTTCCATAGCAAGAAAAGAAAAGTTGTTTTAATATCCTACATCTAGGCAAGTTAACAGAAATTATCTCAATAAATAATATTGTTTTGAGACGATTTTTAATCAATATATTGACAATGGTATAATAATGCAAGTTTGCTCTCTCAAAAGACCAATAAAGTTACATTTTGAATAGACCATTTTGACACTGGAACTGGAGTATATTTTAAATAGCCAAAATAAAACCACCAAAAACAGTAAATAAAAATACAATAAAAACACACACACACACCCATAAGCATAAATAAAGTGGTTGATGGAGTTTAAACAAAATTGCCCTTCAAAATAATGATAATCAAAAGCAGCTTTCAGCTTTTATGCTCCTCTATTCTGGAAACTTCCAGAAAACTGCAAAACTGCTGAAACACTAAAATCAAGACTAAAAACTCACTTGTGTAGAGCTGCCTTTGATAGCATTTAATGTCATTTATCATAATGTATTGTTTATTGTTTCATAATGGCTTACTTTGTTATATTTTTATGGTGTAAAAAACTTTGAACTGCTTTGTCACTAAAATGTGCAGTACAAACAAACTTGACTAGAATGGAGTCAGTCATCAAGCTCATTTTGATTTATCATGCTATTAATCAAATAGCTTGTCGCTTACTGCGACAGGCTTTCCTCCTTCTACAAGTGAATTTCATCTTTCATTCATAAACTATGTGAGCTCAAATGGCAAATATTTCTGGATAATTTCTACATTATATAAGTGATAGAGGAACAAAAACATGCAAAGATAATTCTGGGTTTCAGCACAGTTTGCTAAAGTGATTAAAGGGTTAAAAAAAAAAGAAAAAGAAAAACCAAACACATTTTCACACATTAACTATGATTTCCGTTGATATGGAACGCTTCACTAAAGTGCCCTGACCATGTGGCTGATGGGAGGGAAAGCTAATCTCAATAACGAGAATCTGAGCATGCCCACTTGCAAACTGCCGTTTAATTTCAGCACAATGTGAATCAACACAGACGCTGCCGGCGCTAAAATGTTTACTTCATTCAACTCTGGATGTATGCGAGGCATCCCAAGTGCCAGAGCAGGAACGCATTTCCTGCTCGACTTACCAGCCTCTGAGCTTGTACGCCTCTGGGATGTCTGGGTTGATCATCATGGTGCTGCTGAAGGACGCGGAAAGTGAGCGGCCTCCGAAGTCCGAGAGCTTGGCGCTCTTTATGGCTACGATCGGCTGTCCGGAGCCGTCAAACTTCTCCGCCTGCGAAACGAAAAGAAAATGTCTGAAAATGGGCCTCAAACGTCGCTCAACTCCGTTCCTCCACATCATCCGCAGTAAAGCACATTGTCACACAGATACAAGTAGAACGGAACACAAAGTAAACAAGTCAGTAGTTCCCCCAAGTTTTTCTGCTTCATAACCTTCATACTTTAAACGACTAAAAGAACCAGAAGCTGGGAGTTTTTTTTTTTTTTAAAAAAAGGAAGATTGGAGCAGGGAGTGACTGAATACTTCATACATATGGAAAATATCTTTAAAGTTGTTTGAGCTGGAGCTGTTCTTAAGCTGCACGTTTTGTTTCATCAAATCCCTTTGGAAGTGGAATACATTTAAAAAGGAAACTAGAAGGGAAGAAGCTGCCTCTTAACAGGAGGAAGTGAAATTGGACTGAAGCCAGAAGGGAAAATAACAAAAAATAAAAAAATAAACGTTGGGAGTTCACTTACGTTATCACAAGGACACATTTTAGTCAGTAATTTTATTCTATGAGCTTAGAAGTATTTTTCAGGTTTCACAACTCAAGCAAAGAGCAGCTTTTCCAATATGCAAGGATGCAACTAACGGTATTCAAATTTTCTATCAATTAATCGGATAAAAAAATTGGCACATTGGTCAGATTTTGCATTTAACCACTTACGTTTTTCTTATACATTAGAAACACAAAAGACGCAATTGAAATGAAAAAAAAAAAAAAAAGTTTTATTTGTCTTAAAATTCAACAACACAGCATTCTGTTAGTGGACGCCTGAACATTCATAGCAAAAGATGAAGCTAAAAATACTTTAACAAAGTTCAGCGCATTCTGCTCGACTCATCAGTAGAGTGTAGTGATTTGTTACTTTCTGAATTAACCAATTAGTAATTAGATACCAAAGAGTGCTTAGGAGATGTTTTTATATACTGAATTTGAACCAGGTGGAGATAAACATGCCACTTGAGTTCAGGATATTCCAAAGGTTTCTATTTATTTTAAATGTAAAATGTACATATTTCTTTACAGTTTTGGCTTAATGCTGTTTTTTTCAGCAAAATTGCCTTCTTATATCAAGTCTGTTTACGCCAATTAACGATTAATCGTTTGATCACAATTATTCTGATTTAATAGTTTCAACCCAAATCATATTTTTTTTTTTTTACCTAATTTGATTTTTTTACCCAAAACGTGGCATTCCTTGAAGAAACCCTTCCACTTAGAAACACTTAAACAAAAACTCTCCGGCTCTGCGTGGTTTTACTCACTTCCTCTCCCCACAGGGTGACGGTCACCAACTTTCCGGATATGTCCATCAGACTCAGCGTTCTCTTGGACACTTCGCGGTTGGACTTGGTCGTCAGGCGGGTCAGCTCATCCACGCTCTTGCACACTCCAATCACATCTGTAATGCAAAACAAGAGAAAAAAAACAGGAAAAAAAGGCATTAAGCATAGCGGGACACGCTAGATTTACGGCACCAACGTTCTGAACCTCCGTGTACAGCCCTGTTCCATTCGCATGGAAACATACGCTGAATATCCTCTGAGAAACACAAAGGATTTATAAAGTATATCTAATTTCTAAAGCTGCCTCAGGTAATTCTTCTTCATTTAGCAGTGAAATAAAAAGGAATCAGATGTTACTTTGAGTGTTTCATATCCATAGCAGCATGAATGTTTTTGTTTTTAGGAATCTACTTAAGGATCGGAAAATTACACATTATGAAAGTTGAGATTTGAACTGTTTAAAGGGAAGATTCTTATTGCAGGAAATGCCAAAAACCTGGAAGATGAATTTATTTACATAGGACTATTTGCTTCATGATGCTTAAGTCACAGCTACAACCAGATTCATATTTACAAGACAAAAAGGGAAAAGATAGAAACCAACTATAAATTTCTTAAAAAGACTAAATATATGTCATGAAAAAACTCAGAACAATTAAAAAAAAAAAAAAAAAAGTGGATTACTTGGAGAAACTTTTCCAGTATCTGAGATTCTTTAAATGTAGTCCTAGGCTGATTTAGATAATCTTACACAAAATGTGACGTTGTTTCGCATAGAAGATGTTTATGTGCGACTCAAATTTTTGCCCATACATATGCAACATTTAAAACCTGCGATTGACGTATGTAAGGCCAACTAATTTAATAGATTAAATTACTTAACATTAAGGACATTGAAGCCTCAATTTTAGATAAATTTAAGACTTTTTAAGGACACGCAGACACCCCAATTAAAGTTTTACATTTTCTTAAAGTTTCCGTTTGTGATTATGCAGTTTTCATAGTTGCACGTCCTTACCAACGATAGCGTCTTTCTCTCTGTTCTCCAAGTCGCCGATGGGGACAAAGTCGCACTGCACCATGGGAACGTCGCAGCTGTCCTCACAGGGAATGACGGTAGACTCTCCGTTGAGAGTCATTTCGTAGTCGTTCTTCACCGACGTGTACTGCTTGTTTGCGATCTTCAGAGAGCCCTTGGAGATGTAGTAGACCTGGCGGAGGCAGGAGGGATGAAGCCGGCACGTTACTCAGAGATCTGGGGGAGCATTTTCACCTGACTTGAATGGTGCAAACGAGATAGGACTTCAGACAGCAGGGGAGGTAGGGAGGCATCAACAGAGCCTGGCAGATGATCATAAGCTGCTTATTGTATGGGTACGGCGCTGCCAGATGACTCATTCATAGTCTCTGTGGTTTTAACATGCAGAGTACCGGCAGCTGTTGACAGAGCGCCGCGCTGCCAGAGCTGTCTAACGGCGAAGGAGGAAGAAAAGTTTTCCGGCAGGTAGTTTGGGAAATCCCGGGTCTGGAGGAAGAATCTCACCTTGCCGACCTCGATGAGAGAGAAGAACTTGTCGACTTCTTGGTTGAAGCCGGTAACACGGATCTCCCCCTGGAGTTAGAAACACGAAATCTTTTTTTTTTTTTTAAATAGACAAACTTTGGACACAGATATTGGAGTTTATTTATATATAATAATAATTAGTGATGCACTGATCCACGTTTTTCTACTTCCAATACGATATCTTAGGTTTGGTATCAGCCGATATCGATACGATACAAAAACCCCCGGCTGAATTAAAGTTTATTTCTGTAAACAAACAGAAAGAAATGTACTGCGCAACAAATTTATTGGATAACTCTGCACCGGTACAACACACTTCAATACATGTAAAAAACAACAAATATTTAATTTGATCAAACACATTAGGAGTATGACAACCAATGTAAAGTAAATAAACTGAAACTGACAAAACAATATGTTGACTACTTTGGTCAAACGTAAAAAATAAACTGCAACAAACAATCTTTCAAACGGTTCAGAAAGTGCAATTAATGTACAATAAATAAAGCATGACATCACTCAAAGCACAAGGGATAGAATTAGATTGACTAGATCTGACTTTATGGACTGGACACATGGTCACGGATACATGAACGAGAATCTTTTTCAATATCAGACCAGTGCATCCTTAATAAAAACAACAGATAAAAACTTACACTTTCATCTACGATCTCCATAGAGAAGAGTTTTCCTTCGCCTCGAGCATTGCTCCACGTACGAATGGAGCTCTTATTGGTCACACGAGCCCGGATCGTCCACCTTTAAGAGAAATTTATTGCTCATTAAAGCTTTGTAAAGCAAAAGTTTCCCTTTTCCGAGGATATGCATACATACATGTATGAATGAACGCATTTAGTCATTCATTCATTCACAATCTGTTCTTTGCAGCTTTTGAAAACAGGTTTCCAGGACTTCCATTCATTTAAAAATCTTTGGCTTTTCTTGTGTTTACTTCTTAGCTAGGTAGTCAATTTCAATACCAGTGAGGTGCTTAAAATAAACTTAGTAAAAGTACAAAGATGTAAAAGAACACATAAAAAAGGGAAAGTAGCCTGAAAAGAAGACAGCAAAGAGGCTGTTTTTTTTTTTTTCTGCATTTTTTTAGTATTCCAGACTGAGGTTTTGCAATGCTAGGTGCATAAACTGCTAATGCAAGATGTTCAAAAAAGCTTAAAATTAATAGTTTAGTTTTTGTTTAAAAATACCACTCTACTCTGCAACCACTAATGAAAGAAAGGCTAGAAAAGAAATACATATATCCACCCGAGTGTCAAGCCTGCCTATTTGACAACTTTCTCCACACCTATAGTGATTTATAAGCCTGGCAGACCTCCAGGCTTAACTTGCCTCTCCACCAGACTAATTACTGTTTATTTTAAATAGGGTTTTAGTAACAGTGACAGAAGAGAGTGCAAGAATCACAACATAAAATTACTATATTTTCAATGAATGTATATTAAAATTGTTACAATTCAAACGACCAATAAAGCATGCATACTGACTTGGACTGGTAGGGGTTGAGGCTGGCGATGGGGACAATTTTGGAGCTTCCTCCTGGAGTATCAGGCAAAGCAGAAGGAGTCTTCTTTGCAAAGTCTCTCTTCAAATTTCTGACCACAGCTAGAGAAACAAAGAGGGGAAAAAAAAGGAATAAATAACGAACAGAGAAGTGGAAGAATCTAATTTCTTTGGATTGCAACCGCTTGATCGGCGTAATTATCCCACTTCACGGGGGGAAAATCTCAACAAAAAGACGCAACGCTTCAAAATTTTACCGACTTGACTCCCGCCAGGCCCGGCGATTGAAACAGATGAGGATGTTATTAAACCAGCTGGCCCCAGATACGTGATCCGGCATTTTAGGTGAGAAGCATGACTCGCGTTCCCACAGAATCGGGGCCGAGCGTAAAGCACTGCAACAAACCGGAGCAGCTCTTCCCGAGCGCAGCACATTTGATTTGTGTGCGTCTCACGTGGAGGATTAGAGTTCAAAGTGTCCACTTAAGTCCTCCCACTTTGCAAACCACTGCACTTCTGGTAATTAAGCCCCCCACTTCTCCCCAGATCAAGCAAGCTCACTGAGAAATGAACAATGACTGTGCTGATGATGACCAGGACGGCTGCCACAATCTTAATTCCCCACAAGGCAGATTTGAGGGATGAATACCTCCCATGACACACGCGGGGGAACACGGAGAAATCACGGCGACGGCTGGATTTCACATCTCTGCAGGCTAAAATTGCTAGAAAACATGTTTGACATGACCACCTTGTTGTCTTTCACGGACAAGTAAATGTTCTGATCTAATCCACACTTTTGAACAGTGCCACTCAAACCGAGGTGTATAAAACATAATAACTGCACACACAGGCGAAGATGGATATGCTTGCAGACAGGAAACCAGATGGATTTGGTGAATTTCACGGCAAAACAAAAATATTTCCACAAATTAAAAATGCAAATATTTCTACAAGGGCTGTCAAAATTATTCCTGTCATGGGAATCTTTAGGTCACCTCTCTGCGACGGATAGCTGCTGCCACCTGGTGGCCATTTTTGATAGCAATTTCATTTCTGTTGTGAATTGTAAAACATTACACTTTCCTAAATTTTATTTATGTTGAGCAGGTTAAATGCAAGCTTTCACTCACCTTCATTTCTGTTTTGTGGCTGCAGAGGCGATCTGCTTTCAGGGACTGGAGCTGGTTGCGGGCCTCTGCTCTGACCTGATGGGGAAATGTACATTAAAACAATCAGAATTAACTTCACTGTCCAAAATTATGTGCACAAAAACGTTTTGAATTTGATTTCAAGCACTCACTCTGTTACAAAAATGAAGCATAATCTAAATATTTTAGTACTAAACATGTAAACGATGTACAGAAACTTTTTTAAAGTGCAGAAGAGCAAAGGAAATGAGAAAAAACAAAATGCAGCTCAAACATTATTGTTGTTTACATGTCTGCAAAGGAATAGGAAAGCAGTGATGTCTGTGATTATTTCCATGCATATTCACTGCGTCACGACAGCTTGAACGATGAGAAAATGCTCACCGTCAGAGTAAGGAATTGGGTCTCCTATTTTACCAGAGGCGTCAGCAGGTTTGATGACGTCGATTTCTAAAATGATTACCACTCGTCTGCAAAGACAGATAATACATCAGAATAGTTGGAGGGGGGAAAAAAAGAAAGAAAGAAGAAGAAATGCGATATTTCCAACAAAATCTAATCCAGCGAAATCTTCATACCGTCCATCTTTGAGCATATTGGTGACCTGCCTCTTCAGGACGCACACACAATTTGGGACCAGAAGGTTTTCCTCGGCCATGTAGTTTAGCTGAGTGGAGAGCATGAAGGCTGCAGAGAGGCGCAACATGAGAGGAAAGCATGAACTGGAAATCTTACTGCAAATGTTTAGGAAAACCAATATATGCAAGAATCACTTTCACATTTCAGATGAGATTTAAATGTGAATCTTTCTTCTTTTTTTTTGCAAACAAACTACCTTAAAAACTAAAAAAAAAAAACAATCAACTAACAAGAAGGCTGGGCTTATACCCCCAACCTACTTCCTAGTGGGTCAACGATTTGACATCCAGCTACAAAGGAAAACTATGACGAACCAACAGAGTCATTTAGTGTAATGTTTTTGGAAAATCCTGATCAAATCATAGTTTCTAATCAATTATTTGAAAGCATATGTCCCATCACAAAACATTCAGATGCACTTTTGTTTGGAAATGTAGCTAAAGAAGCTTATAGTTTACATAACTTACATCCTTTCATCCCACAAATGGAAATGAATCGCATTCAAAACATTCGAGCAAAAATAAATTGGAGACAAAATAACTTACATGACAGTGTGTGTCGTCCATCGCTCATCATCACCCTGAAGCGAGAGGGCCCACTCCCGCCATCGATCTTGCGAATGTTCTAGAAGTTAATGTAAAAACTGTTGACTATATAGATGGAAAATTATGATTTAAGCAAAATTATACTTCTCAAGTGGAACAAGATGAAAAAAGGCATTACAAAATACTCCTGCAATACCGTAAACCTTGTAATAGTTACTGACAAGAGACTTTGGACAACCACTAATATTCCCAACTAAAATAAACCTTGGCAGGAAAAAGACAACAAAAATGGTGGATTCAGCAAAAAACAATGAATGGGGGGAGGGAAGCACAAATTTAACTTTAGAGGGTTGGTATGAAAATAGCTGGATGCATTGAAGACTCTTTGAGGCCCAAGACTGAGATTAATCAGTGTAAATGCAAAATTAGATACACAAGTTAACACATATCTACGTTTAAAAAAAACGCTCAAAGTTTTTTCATTGAAAGTTATTCTTAATACTCTTGCATGCAAAGAGATCTACTTTTATCGTGCAACTTTTTTTTTGATAATGTTGACAACTCGTCTTTCCGTTCAAAATGTGTTGTTTGCGGAATAACAAGTATGGTTCCGTCAATCAAATGGGTTGATTAAAGTCATTTACAAGCCGTTTCGGCTGTAATTAGTGGCGCAGCTGTTGCATAAAAAAGGTTGTTACTCACCACCAACTGTAGCACTGCTTCGTTCCAACCGCTGCCATTTGCTAAAGCCTGGAAAATGATTAATGGGGGGGATCAATTTTCACAAATATCTCATCACATAAATACACGTTTTTCCATTCAAATTAGCTTACAAACTTATTTCCATCTATATTCGACTGTAATTTGGATTGAGTTAGTTGTATTTTCTGTTCTGTTAAAAGATTAGCAAACCCCAACATGACTTTTTAAAACGTACATATAAAAGTATATTCTGCAAACAAATTAATGTCAGCTTGATGTTGACTACAACAAAGACAGTTTGGACATAATGATAAACCAAAACAGGCTTTACAACACTTTATTAATATAGTTCGTTTTTATAAATCAGTCTTACCTCTATCGCGCCCGTTGAAAGACTTGCCATGACTGTAATTGGGTAGTTTAGTAAGAAAATACGACTTAATTTGACGACTAGTAGACAAACAGGTCGACGAACCACTGACTAACAAATGCAGTCAAACTGCGTCTGAGGCGCCAAAAGCTGACAAGGACGCGCGAAGAGTTGAGCGTGCTGTCAGTTTCCGTTTCCGCTCACTGATCTAAGGTAAGCTTAGAATTATTCAGAGAGTTTAAACACAGCTAAGAGTCGCTGCGAAACTGACCTGAGATCGGTCGCGCCAACCAAAGTGTGACGTCAATATTTTAATGTGGTGCGTTCAAGGAGGTACGGAAACAGGCTACTTATTACATATTCAAAAAAGATGTTTGTGCGTTTTTCAAATAAAAAGTAAAAAGGGAGGTGAAACTCTGTTAGATTACTCAAATATAACGTACACTAAAGTTGTGACAAACCTCACAAAATGCACTGTAGTAGTTTCAGGACAAATTTCTTTGACAAAAAGAGGTAAATTTGCAGACTACGCCATCTGACGATGTTCAGTTTACTAATTTCGTGTTAGATACGCGGTGCACTTCAATATCATCAAATAAAACGAATCCCATCATTCGTTGATTTTTTTAATTATGTGTTTTAAATATTTAACTGTTCATTTTGAGGCTAAATAAAAAAATATTTTTCTGACGATAATATAACACCAATTAAAAATATTTGTATACAGAAATAAGGCCGTGGTACAGTCATGACAAAGGTTGCTGGTTTGACAGCAAACAGCAGTTGACAACTTCGACAGTGACAAGACACAAAATGTAATTGCTAAAGAAGCAAATGAGAAGCAAATAATGAAAAATTAATTGGAAGGAAAAAATGTTTTGAAAAAAAAAAGGCACAGAAGAGACAAGGATAGCAGCACCCTTGAGATGATTACCAATCACAGCCCACTCAATAGTTTGGGGGAGATTAACAAGGCGTGGGCTGCTCAGTGGACAAAGTCCCGTTTTCAGATAAAGGTAAATTTTACATTTTATTTGGAAAGCTGCCGATGTTGATGTGTGTTTTAGCAAGTCCAAAGTCAACTCAGCTGTTTATCAGCAAATTTTAGAGAACGCTGTGTTTCTTTCTGCCGACAAACTTAATGGAAATGCTGATTTAATTTCCCAGTGTGACTCGTCTCCAGTACACACTGGCCCAAAGAAGTATTGACAGAATAAACTCTACAGCACATGCGTTTCACTACATCCACATCATTGAATTAAAGCACCTTTTCATCAGTCTTTTAAAATATAAATCATTTCTGCATTGTTTTTCAGCAACTGTATGCAATAACTATGAAATATATGATTTTTGTACAATGATTTGTGTAAATGAAAAGTTTCACTTTTTGTACCATATTACTGAAATATATGGTAATATTGTGATTTATTTACATATGCAACCTTTTATTACATGTAAAATCATAACTTGTAGCCATGAAGGGATTCAGATTGATACATTTATTTACCTGCAACATAAATTTAAAAAGAAAGTCCAGGAACATACAGAACATTACAAACGTTACAGGAACGTTACAAGCTGTAACATTGAAATTGTGCTACACTGCAAAAACACAAAATCTTTAAAAAAAATTCTAGTTTCTAGTGCAAATATTTTAATATACATGGAAGAAGATTAAAAATAACTTATTAGTAACGTTTCAGCAAGATACAGGAGGGGGTTTTTTTACTCAAAAATTTCTTACTATTGATGAAAAAGTGCTAGGTTCCACCGGCAGATTATTTCACTTATAACAAGGGAAAATGTCTTGGTAAAACTGAAATAATCTGCCACTGGAGCAATTAAGTTTTCATCAATATTAAGGAATTACTGACTCAATGCAAGTTCCTATGTCTTGGTGAAAAGTTACTTGTAAGTTAGTTTTAATCTTATTTCAACTGTATTGAAATATTTGGACTAAAAATATTAGTAAGATATTGGTAGGATTTTGTGTTTTTGCAGTGCAGGCATGTTGACATCATAAAAAGTCCAAGTGGTATAAAAGGAAAACCTCAGCATCATCTAATATGACACTCCATCGTGTATTTACTTGCATTTTTCAAATTCCTTAGAATTGGCCCTAGGGTTCCTATCCTCCACTGTGTGGAAGCAAGAGTCCTGGATTTTTATGGATGACGTGGTGGTTAAGTTTTTGGCAGACAGAATCGATGGTTTAGTTAATCATGTTAAGGTTTTGTTTCTGCGCAAAGTTTAGACAGTCTGAAAGGTTCGGGAGCGGCACGTAAATGTCTGCGTAAGGGAAGGTGTCCTGAGCCGTGTTCAGGAGAGCGGTGAGGAGTTTTTGTATTGAAATTTGGTCCCTGTAATCCTTGTTGTTGGTGCCGAAAGAAAGCTGGACTTTTTTTTGGCATCATTGGAGGTTCTAGTTTTTTTCAGGATGTGACTGGCGTGTTTAAATTGCTCACCAGGGTAGCAGTTGACCTGCATGTCTGGGTGTGTGAGTTTGGGCAAGATACTTTGTTTCAGAAAAGTAATACTGCAGACTGAGGCTGTGCAATTATCTAATTTTCCTGGGGGGTGGGGGGGAAGCAAATGATTTTAGTCTCTATTTAGGATTAAATTCAACTGAGCCCATGTGATTCTTGTCAGCTGGGAATCCTACTTTATCTTTACTTCCAACATCCCCCCTCTGCAGGACAGGGGCTCCGGGATTGGGGTTATTGATGACACCCATGAAGATTGGTATGTGAGTTACATCATCCATTAGCACAAAGAAGAAGGGCTGACTGAGGTGAAAAATAGGATTGGATGCCCTTGAGATGATGGTCGTTGTGGCGGCGGCAGCCCTCGCGCCGTCCTCGTTTATCTCCATGCCAGACTTGTGCATTACGCTGGACACCAGCAGGGGGCCATCTGCGATCCCACCCAAATTGGGATTCAGGAACACCTCCCCAAGACCTGAGATAAAACCAGCGATTAGAGAGGTGGTTTATAGCATCCTTTGTTTTACCAGAGCTTGCAGATGTGAGAAAGTTACGTCTTACCTAGTTTGGTAAGAACTTCCTGCAACTCCTGAGAATATTCCAGCTTGAATTTGGGAACTTTAACTTGGACAGCCCTCTCTTTGGGTAGACGTTCATACAAGTTGGAGATATTTAGGTGCGAGGAAAGCAAAGACACGTTCACTCTCCCCGACTCAGGCATGATAACCAGCAAACTCATGTCCTTTGTGAATGGGAACCTTGCCACCTGCACACAAAGAGAAAGGATGTAGTAGTTTCTTAAAGGGGCAGAATTATGTGTTTTCCAGGCACTTTGTGCCATTTTATAACAATTAATTAACTATATTGACTTCAGTTGTATAAAAAATGCTATATATATCCAATATGACTTAAAAAGAAATTTGACTTTGTAAATAAACGCCTTCAAATTTGGCTTCTGTTGCTTTAAAAACCCCTGCTCTTTCTGAAACTGCCTTCAAGAAGTCATCACAACTTAATTTCTCTATTAACCCTTTAACGACATTTTTACCGCTGCGCATGTCCTCATATAATGAGGACATGTGCAGTTCCACCCTGTGTTTGTTAATTGCTGCTGGTTAGTCTGAAGGAGCAGAGAGGAGGAGTTGCAGGGGGAGGGCTGCTCTGTGCAGTGGAAGCTTGGAGCCTTCTCAACTGCATCCCAGAGGAGTAGATGGTGTTTTGCACTGCTGAATGGTTGCCATGGGAGATTAAAGGATTTTTTAAACATGCATGAAAGAATCAAAGCAACACTCCAGGTATGTTTTTGATGAGGGAATATCATGAAACTCAAGAAAGCTGATTTTACCAAACACTGCCCCTTTAAGAGTTTGATTCTAAAGTGAGTTGGACATATTTTTACACCTGGGTCATTTCATGTCAACTTTGTTTTTGGTTGTTTTAAAATTTTATTAAAAAAAAAAAATGGAGAAATCCAGAACTGTAAAAGAGATTTGCAGTTGTTAACAGTTAAATACTCTTGTTTTTCGCAATATTTTCAATTTTACTATGCATGCCTATTAATCAACTTGCGTGAATAGATGTGTATGAGAACATACTACATACGCCATGAATTACAGAAAAATAATTCAAATATGCTGTTGATGTAGCAGATTTACTTATTCCGTTAAGATAAATAATTAAATAAATATGAATCAAATCCTCTTAATAATGTGTAACTGACATGTGTTGGAGGACTAATGGATACAGAGCAAACAGAGAGGTATTAAAACTCTGAATCCTAAAATGCTTTGGTCCAAATGCCTTACCCATTACTGCACAGATAATGAAATTGTTGTTTGTTTGTTTGTTTGTTTTTTTAATGAACGTTTAATACAAAAACATATGAAGATACTGCAAAAAAAGATGTTGAATTTTAGCATTCTTTTGCATCAAATTTGAAAACAAATTCCCAGAGAAACAGAGACCCTAAAACTTCAGAAGGTGAACTTTACCTGAGCCTCCAGCTCACTGTCCATTAATAAACTCAGCTGATGTTTGGTATCATCCATCATATCAACATCCACCAGGTGCAAATCATCAAGGTAAAAGACGCCTTTGGAGGTGAAGTTCGGGTCAAACCGAGCTTTCCACTCTCCTGTCAGACACACGGGGAAATGAGATTTTCATTTTTAGTCAGCAGCATCTTTCAAACCAAAAATACTTTATGAAGAAACAATAATATTTTTTGGTAGCTTGATTACATGTTCTTGATTACACTCTTAAAGACATACAGACACATATAAAAGATTCAGAATTTCATCAAAAAGTTCATTTTATGGATTATTAGGTTTTCTAAAAACATAATTTTGATCCCAATCATGAGACTTACCAAAATGAACACTGTGTTAATAAGCATAAGAGTTTCACTTTATCGGTTAAGTAAATGAGCTTTTCAGTGATGTTCATACATATCGATACATCGGTTACTTAGAAGTCGGCATGTTGGCCAATCACCTTTGAAGTAAACGGCATTGATGAGCATGAGAAGCAGATTGGGTGGCAAAAAAGACAGGAAGTCCATCATTTTTCCCTCTGTTGCGTTCTCTACCCACTCATTTATCTGTTGAAGGCTTTCCACTATTGCTGGTTCCGAGTCGTAATACCGCAGCGACTCGTTCACAAACTCTTGCTTTCCCTTAAACCCTAAAAAAGAAAAAGATGTTCAGCTTTTTTTGGGGGGTGGCGGGGGCTCAAAATCAGATATTAAAACAGAAATTAGAACAAACCTTGACGCAGAAACATGCGCGT